GAAACCGTCTCCACTGTGACTTCTCAGTCTTCAGCGGCACGGCTAGGTTGATTCGCATATCTGAACTCCGGTCTTTGACGAGACGCGTGATCCAGACGATTCGTCTCTCAGAGCCAATTTTAGCCCGCTTTTACATGGGACTGTAGGTTTTAAACCATATCATCCAATACTAACCATGACCATAAATCATGAAACTTCATTATAGCTGATTAGACGCACCCAATTCCTTGTTCTTTATTTTTCTTTTCCATTTGATTTTGCTTTTGCTCCATACTAGCCATTCGAGTGCCTAACTGTTTTTATTTTTGTCCGTTTTGATTTTTTCTCCGGTTTTATGCGTTACTTTAATTTGACTTATCACGCTTTCTCCTTTGCTATTTAACAACCTTACATTATTGTTTACTGTTGTTGTTGTGAGTTGACCAAGAATCGCCGTTTTACCTCTGTTAATCAGTTTTCTCACGCTTTTATTCGACGGCCCGTATATACTTGAATTTTACATTCGGTTCTTCATTCAGTTGTCAGTATCAATATTTTGAAGCTCCCTGTCTTTCTGAACAAGGTCAGCGTCAAAGTTGAGATATGCATACTGTTTGTCGCTGCTGAGGTAATAAAAGTGAGGCGCCAGAATATTTCATCTTACCCTGTAAAGCTTACTTGCTTACTACTAGATCAGTATGAATGACAATATTGAATTTGACGAATTACCAACAGTTTTAAGTTACATGTTCGGTTGTTGAGGCTGCTCTAGGTCAACTATGTCCATTTGGTGATTTTAAGGATATAATTGGAGACATGATGCACGCGGTGTCGTATTCTCGTGAAATCGCTGCTAAGCTTCCCGAATACATATCATCTCTGGAAGACGAAATTAGTCGCCTTGAAGAGAGGAAGGAAATTCGGTGGATGCGCAAAAGGATGCAGGAGATAAACGCAGCCGAATTCGAGAACCGAAGATCAAGAGGCGAAAAGAACAAGCTGATCGACCACGTCTTCAAATTGCGCAACGCGACTCTCGTCCAGCGAATGTCAAAGTTTAGAAGAAAACTTGTTCAGCGTTTCATCGAAAAGGCCACCTTTCAGTGCGAAGACATCATAAACACCGCATTTGCCAAATGTCGAGAGTGGTTCAACAAAAAACTGACTGACTGTCTCTTGGGATTTCCACTAAATCCCATTTGTACGGCATACACCGTAAGTCATTACTTATTGTATCACCAACTGTTTTGTATTTCAGTTGAACCCTCCTCTCGATCGTGAGTCTCTAAAGCGATATATTTGTTTTGTCTAAGGCCACAGCACAAGGATAACTGAAACGAGATTTGATGCTTAAAGTTTTGCTTTAGCAGCATCAAACCCCGCTTGAATCTGCATGTAGGCTATATGTCAATACGCATAACAAAACAGACATCTCTAGCATGTCAGAATTCGGTAGTGGTTATGAATCGATCTCAAGTTGTTCATATGAGCCAACTTTTTGTTTTCATAGTAAGATGAAAAACGTTCCTCGCTGTCAGATTTCTGCTTGGTGGTATATTGATGATTTCCTATAGAAATAACTTTTTTGCGTTTAATTATTTGCATTGCTACGGCGTTGGTTACCAACCTTGCCTTTTAGCTTTTTAACAGACTACAAGGACAGTATCATCTGAGGCAGTCAAACAAACCAGGGTAATTCTAAAGTCTTCGCTTGGCGAGCAGCTCGTGTGCCACAGTGAACGCAGGATCGTTTCAAATCTTGGTTCAGTTTGAACATCGGCTGAGCATCAATCAGTTCAATCTAAAGTAATCATAAGCGAATGAAATAAATTGAGCCGAACATAGAAGAATAAGGCTTATATCGTTCTCTTTCCAAAGAACCACAAATCAACGGAGTTGTTTTTACTACTCAGTAGTAGAAAACCAACGCGGTTTGATAAAATAACCAAGCCTCAAGCTGCGGCCATGTTCCAGTGCTGGAGACTGGCAGACATGAACATGAACGCCGTTGTGGTTACTGATGGTACATGGGAGGAAACAAAAGCTGTTGCTGACGTGAATTGGTTTTCAATAAAGAACTTTTCGGTCATTGACATTGCAAACGCTTATAAATTCTAGACCAGTGGTTCCCATAACACCGGGTCATAATTCAAACGAGTGTAGCGGGAATGACTCAGAGAAAAATAAATTCTTGCTAAAAGTTGTACATTTTAACTGATTAATTAACTGATGAAATTGAGTATTTCGTTCGTGTGTAATGAATAGAACGTAGAGCGCGACTTGTTCATTCGCAGCATCAAAATTATAATGGACATTAGTATGATTTTTGACATTCACCCAATTGGCCATATTGCTTGCGTTTTGTAAATAAACCGTTTTTATATTGTTTCAATGGTTTAACACTTTAATTTATAATCACTTATTTTTCAAATATTCCTTTCATCATTTTCCTGCAGCATCCATGGCTGATGTTACGGGGGGGTGGGGAGGTTGATTCGTATGCAAAAGCGTCGCTTAAAGTTTCCGTCGTATCTGTGCTACATGTCCTGAATCCAGAAGAACAGAAAGTAGACATGACGGGCGCTAATCTTGAAATGGTGTTAATGAAGAAATTATCATTCACTGGAATTGTTAAACTGACTTTTTATGGCTCTTCACCATGCATCGTCAATGGCACAGCAGCAGCATTTCCGGGCTGACCAAATGTCGCACGCAATAGATGTATCCTTCGATCTTACAACGTAGAAGATGGACATTCGGTCAGTCGAAGCATTGTCATTGTACTGTTGATTCTAAGAATCCAAAGCGTCACATGTCATTAATCTAGGTTCTTTGTCTTTGATCCTGATACCTCAGATGACGGTGAAAACAACAACGTTGAAATACAGAAACTTTGCGAACAACCATGAAAAAACTGTAATTCATATTTATGTCGATGAGGAAGAGTTTTCGAACCTGCTTATAAAGTATATTCTTCGAAATTTCTAGTCTCTGTTACCCATCGGCGACATTCACCGAACGATTTTTATTTTCTTTAGCTTGATGCAGTATGCAATGTCATGAAAATGATTGATTTCCGGGAATATCACTGTAACAGCGACGCGACTGACATCGATAAGTATGCAGAGGCATATGGCGCGAAAATTGACGAAGCTCAGAACCTGACCGAACGCCTTGTAAACAGCTTTAAGCTGAACGTTCAGTTCAAAGCCAGGTTCCCATTTCGGTTCCCAAAACTGATTTCTCTTGCGCAGCTGAAAAGTTCAGTCGCTCAAGCTTTTTCAGGTATCATTATTTTCATCAGCGATTTTACTAATGGCATTTTTTCTATCTGAATTTTTATGGAAATTTTTGATTATCATTTATGCACATGCACGGTGATTTGTTACTTAGAAGTGGCAAGGAAAAAGTAAAATTTATAGTTTGGTTAATATATTCGATGAGTGATAGTGTTCACCGCCTTCGTTTACGGTTGAGCTTGCAGGCCCGTTATGGAAACGCTTTGTTTTAGAATGAGTTTCAGATTCTAATGTTTTTCAAAGTCTCTGAAAGTGAATTCATGAGCAACGACTACTGAGTAATTGTTCACACGCAGTAGTCCCTTCAGGCCTTCTGTAACAATTGGACGGATATACTATAACGCCTAATGCACCTAAGTGAACTTTGATCTTCGCAGACAGAGCAACATATTTTGTATCACGCAGCGGATCTCAAAATTGAAAATACCACCCCCTGATCTTGGTTAGTTAAGAATTTTATTTTATGTCGTCGAAAGAGTAGTAATTGTACAAATCAGTTAATTAATTATTGCTCATGTCAGCAACAGCATGAGTATAGCGCTACATTGATCTGAAAAGATCCCTAGAAGACGACAGAACAGACTAAGGCTATGAAGGAGTTCATTTTGATTTGCTGCAGATTTACACGGTGTTGCATACTGTTCTTCTCACTTATGTTTGTTCAGTCCATTTTAGAGCCTTAGCGGAGGTGATTCTGCTCTCTTACGACGACGTGTTAGGGCAGTCGCGATATCTGGAGGACTGTAGTACGGTCTTGTGGTTAAGACCATTGTGAAAACTGCTTTATGACAGTTCGTTCCCCTTCGCTGAACGGAAATTACCAGATAGAGCCCACTAGCTTCACCCTGACTTATGCGCCTGCTACTCTCGCGGTTCCGCTAGAAAAAAAAACTTCATATCCGAAAAATAAGTACTGACCTGTATAGAAAATTATTTGCCACTTTTAATTTGTACCCTCATGCCTCGTCGTCTCTTGCTTCCTATAGATATTAAATAATAACTCTCGCTGTTATGTGCTGGATCTGAAAGCAGAAAAATGCATGTTTCTGCACAGTGTTAATAAATATTGAATCTTAAGAAAGTCTTATGCTCATTAACTTCTGAGTTTTCGACCCAAAACTGGAATAAATAGTTGGCGACCCATATCCTTGTTAAGATTACAGCCATGTATTTGATTTTGGTTGCGTGAATGCATGGCGACTGCAGTCAATGGTCGACATGGTACTGAGACAGAACAGAAGTTGCTTGGTTAGCAACATTAATAATAATAGCATTGATGACACAACGCAACATTAATAACACAACAGAATAGCACAATTAATAACAAAAGCAGCGACAAGTTTTGGACACTAGCTTCAGTGACACTAGGATAATCACTTAAGGAGACAACAGATCTGTTGCAAGGATGGCGAACCGTTAATCTCACAAAGTGAGATTCTCAGAGATTTGTAATGCATAAATTACATGACAATAAGTAAATTGTTATGCGCCGTTAGATTGTAGACGACCAAGAGGGGAAGTACTGAACACCACGCTAAGTCTCTCGGTTCAGTAGGATGAACTTGGCGTTAACGATGCATCATTACGTCTAGTGCTCGATCACATCTGTTTAGCATCTTTTCTACATCAAAACCCATCGACCAAGCGCTACATTTATATTGAATAATTATCTTAACTGAGCCACTGCCGTCTCGTTCCATAATGCCACTACAATACTGTAGCTGTTACTCCTGAAGCGAAATCTGAGCGCAAAGTCATTGCTGACTCGTTTTGTCGAAAATCCGTGTACTGGTTTTTAGTATTGTCATAAGATTCGTGAAATTCATCGGCATCGTCATGGAACTAACTCTGGAATAAACAGCTTTCTGCATCATAGACGGTACCAACGTCAGTTCAGTGTTAAAGGTTTACAAAGTCGTACCCTCAGCAGCATTTCTCATGTTCAAATTTTCTATTAAATCAGCGCACCTGTTGTTACCTAAACGTTCTGTTACCTGCAGATGCTCACAAACTTCAATATTGCAGTCATCTTATTAAGTTAGGATGAAATAAGATACTGAAAATGTGTGAATAATCTCGTTATATATGTATAAAGCATAAGAAAAAAACTAATCACTCTAACTCAGGTAATAAATCATAACGTACAGCGCAACACAAAAGTAAATACCGAGTGCTTATGACTTTGGGTTGACAAAACCTGGGCGCGACACCGCTTGCACAATGTTTTCAACTTTGGCTGCTTATGCATTAAACAATTTTGAAACCTAAATGTATTGGTTTTATGTGATGTCAGTTAACTGTTATTTTGATCCCTGAATATCATAATATAATTTGATTTGCAGTTTTGCGAGGCTTTTTTGCCACGATCAGTACCATCTTTACCGTTATATCGGTTATGATGGTATTTTTGATCATTTTTATAAACTACAACTGGTTCAAGAAGTACCTGACGGATATCCGGCATGAGAACGATTATGTTACGCCGAGTTGGTCAGAAATTGATCACCGGAGACAGAGCGAGAACCGAACTCATTTGCTACCGCTGCGTCCGTTTGAAAAAAATAAAATTCGTTTTCCGTTTACGCTAAAACCCAGCGACGTCGAGAAAAAACAACTACTGAAAGGAGTGTCAAAGGCAACAGTTTTAAAAACCGTTTTCATTCGTGCAACATAAATATCTGATTTTCAGATTATATACTTTTTCATAGTAATCATTTCTCTGGTGGAGATCGACAAGCAGTTTTATTACATGCTGTCTCTGGTCAGAAAATACAGCGGCGTTGTGGTGTCGCAAAAAGGTTTCCACGACATAAAAGTGAATATTGAAGGCACCGGAGTGGTCGCGCAAATGCTCACGTCCATGCTGGGGAACTTCGACCGCTCATACAGTGTGGATCAGATCTTAGACAACATGCACTGCCGCATCAACCCAACTGCCAGTTCAATGGTACGTATAAAAATCCGTTCATGATAAAACTTATTTCAATAAATACTTTGTACAGTAACAATCTGAAAAACTTATTTTTAGCCAGCACCTTGTAAACCGTCGTTTTGTGATTTGGTTGAGCGATTTAGTTTGCTAAAGAAACTAAAGGCATGTCGCTGATATGACTTTTCGTTTCATGCTTGAAAGTTTTAACGTATTTTACCTCAGGTTGTCTCCGTTATTTTATTTAATGACCTAGCGTTAAGTAAGTGTCATTTTATAGCTGGTTTATGCTCGTTTTGGGTAAAGCCGGTTAGGTATTGACTTTAAATTTGTATATCCTTTTGACTTTCAATCAGAAACCAGAGGCTGAATCATTCTTTTACTGTAAGCACAAACGAGAAAATATATATATTATTCGATTAACTAGGAGATTCCCAACTTTATCAATAAACACAAATTAGTCGTTTCATACGCAACTTATTCTTTTTGAATTTACTGCATGATTTGGCCAAAAAAGTTTTAAAAACTTAATTCGGTGCTCCATGAAATCTGAGCAGTCTTATAGTATTAGCACTGCCTCTGTCGCCATTGATCGGAAAAAGCTAGGAACATGTTATATCTCGTAATCGCTTTTGCTGCAGTTTCTAGCCGAAATTTAGGACACGAAAGACTTTCTTCCAGATTAAACCGTCCATGAAATGCTATGCATTATAACTTTTTCGTTTTTACATTTTTCTTCAGTACACTATCAATATATAGTTTTAGGAAGATATTGCGTGGATTTGGGGCCTCTTCGCGATTTTTGTATTTCAGTGTACTTTCGGCGTGTACTTGATTCGCTTCCGACTGCTGATCGCCTCGTTGCTGATGCCGGACAGGCAGTACACTCGTATACTTTGGCTGTACAACAATATGTTGCGCGAAAGAGCGTTGTTTATTCGCCAACGAAAGATCGAGATCAACCGAATGGCAATGGACGACGAATTCCCGCCGCCGACGTTCTTCCAGATGCTGTTTGGCAAAGCTCGATGCTTTTTCTGCGACGAAAAAATTGGCAAGGAGTATCATTCTTGTTGGGACCACGAGCAGACCCTGCTCTATTGCGACCCCTGCTGGAACGAGCTGTTGAACCAGCGTTGCGTCGCCTGCGAGCTGCAGTACGAAACGATCGTGGATGAGCAAGGGCGCATGAAGGCAAAGTACATTCAAAGGCAAACTCTCAGACGAAGGAGGCCGAGTTAGAGATCTGTGAAAAGACAAACAACTGAGTCATGTTCTCTAGATAAAGAATGAACATCCTTATGATTATAAAACTTGGAAAGTCTTACGAAAGTTAACTAATGAATGATGTTCATCAGAATTCATGAGAATGCCAAAATGCAAAAAACCGTATTGTTTTTTTACCTGCGCGATTGCACAAAAGAATTAATTCCTACAACTGCATGCGATAAAATTCCCACAACCTAGAAGTTTCATTTCGCTTTAGCCAGGGTTATACAACAATCAGACCGATTAGAATTCTTCCGTCTCTATGTGTATTTGTGTGCAGTTAGATGGCTCTGCCTTGAAACAGTCAGTAGCTACTTGCTTGGAATCGTCAAACAGTGTACCACACCATTACTATAGGTTGTAGATCAGAAATTTCCACCCCTAGATACTTTCCTTTAAGGACTTACGAAGGTAAAACGTACCAAGGAATGGCAGAATGTCAAGCTCAGTTGCTTGCTGTCAACTGTTGTTCCGTCCATATTCAGCGTAACTATGATACACCGCAATCTACTGGGATCTTCAGTCTCTCCTAACGACGTATTATAAAATTTGATATTTTTGTGCCATGTTCTTCTTTCATGTTGACGTCCATTCTCCGAATGATCAAAATTTCCAACAAGTCTCAGTCAAGAGACCATTCATGTTCAGTAGGTGTTGATCTTAAGTGCCAAGTTGCAGTGAGTTTCTGTAAACACCGTCGAAGAATGGGCGTGAATTCGTTACAATAGTGTTGCTGCATCTCGGCAGTATACGGTTATAATATTTGAGCTGACACTCGTTACCAAGGATAGTAACTCTAACACAGGTATAATGCCTTGCACACGTTCGCTTTAACGTTTATAAGCGTTAAATAGCTGACCAAGGTCTCATGCAAATATAACGTAATTGTAATTGGCCATAAGTAATGCGACTGTTATAGTCGTGTCTGTGCATGTTCGATATGGCTGCTGTTAACGACATTAAATAACTGCCGTACGTTTTTTACGTATTAAATTACGTAATATCATCCCGTAATTGCCAATTGATAGTTGGCTAACTCTGTTTTGCTCAAGAACACAGCCGGAGAACAAAAAACCATCTCTTTACTGAAAGCAAATGCGGGATCTACTGGCCTCAGTGCAGTTAACAACAAAAGGATAACAGGATAATAAGCTGGGAGCGACTTTTCGTATTTAACTGCCAAACTCTTTCGCCAGAGAGAAACAGGGAATCCAAAGGACAGAAGCAAGAATCATGAAAGATCAATGTCCATTAACCCCATCCCACATTCGGTGATGAACATCGTCCAAAAGTCGGTTTGACAATCATCCGATCGCTTTTAAAACACCTTCGCTTGCAACAAACGGGAAATGAGAAATGCACATGCACCTTGTAATTAATTTCACTCAAGGGTCTACCAGCAAAGGTTCCAAAAACAGCGCATCACAAACTTGAAAATGTTTTTATAAAAGCTCAAAAATCAATCTTTAAAGTGCTACTTGAACCAAACTAAACGACAAAAGTTTATCAGACGACCGTTGAATGACATAGAAGTTAAACGGTAATGGCAATCATGTCATAAACAGAGCAAAACAGAATTTCAGGTTTCCATACAGTGTACGTGACTTCAATTGTGTATTTATACAACTGTGTAATTTCGAAAGCGAAGGGGCAACTCAAAGATATTTGTCACTGTTAGCAAAATAATTAATAAATTCGCGCCGAATTTCCACAACGCTGCATTTCTGAGTTCTGCACTGCTTAAACTCTAGGTCGATATCTGTTTGAGGGTATGTGCTTGAATAATTCAAATTTCAGGGCGCCAAATAAAACAGATGGTAGAACAGTTTAGTGCCGTCATGTTTCGCTTCATTGGCTGTAGCATCATCAGAGCATCTTGTTTCTATGTCCTGGGAATGTAGAATAAATGAAATATATTTGTGCAAATTTGGAGTCTAGCCGCCAGAAAGTTGAGTTGCTTTGTTCTAACATTGCCTATCATATTTTAGAAAAATTTCCGTGCATGCTGATAGTAGATAATTTAGCTATTGCGAATAAACTTCTTTTCCCACTGCAGCAAGACTTATCATTTACAGCTCGATTTATTCCATCAGAAATGTGATATTTCTGATGGGAATTGCAGTTTATTTAGGCTCTGTACGTTCATTCGCTGTAGTCATAAGAACTGAGTTGTCTGAGATGAAAAGTATATAAGCTATGTTCATAAGGGACTCCAATGTACTGTCTTGACCCGATGATCAATAACATTTTTGGATGTTGGATGTAGCAAATAATAGCAGTAGAGAGAAAATGCTTACCTTGTAACATCCAAAGATTTATTGACGATACAGTCGTCTGATTGGAAAGTTGTTTCATATCAAAAGTCTCTTGCAGTAATTTTCATACTGAAAACAGAAGTGTACAAAATCTGTTTGTTTATTTACAAATCATTTAATCACACCCCGACCCGAAACGAGAAAAAGCCATGGAAGATGAAGCAACGAATCAATTAACTGCCTGTTTCGGATAAATAGAACATTTTAATACATTTTTCAGTTCTCTGTCTTTTATCTTTTTACTCCTTGTTCTTTACGTTCAGAAATCAGGTTAAGGAATCGTCTTCTCGAATTTCCCGCTCTTGGTTCTGGCAGAAGTGATAATTTACTTAGAATGAAGTGTACACATATATACTATTGAACCTGTTTCATACAGCCTGTGGAACTGTCTGACAACAGATTCCCGTATTGAAATGCACCCCTTTCTTTTTTTACTTGCGTCACAAGTATAAATATTTTTGTTAAATGAACGCATCATATTATTTAAATTGTTTTCAATTATTTGGTGCAGTACCTTTTCATCCTAAAATAATTATTTTTCATCTTTTCTTTCTGAAGGCCATTTCTTCGTCCCTTTGTCCAATTCAAAACTCTCGCAAGTGTCTCGTTTCCGCTATCATTATTGAACGCCACTCATCAAATTTCCCCTGTTTCTCAACAAACTTTGACGGGATTCTCCATTTTTTATCTAGGTACACCGACTACGTATTTCGTTTTGCCATTCGTTGTGTTTCCTTCAATATGTTGGTGATCGTTTTGGTACGTGTCTGCCGTATTTGTTACAATGTTGGCGCTGCGCTGCACCTGTGCCCGTCGGCGCCGTTGACTCTATGGCGCAGATCGGATGGATAAAGACCCTTTCGTAATGGAGTGGATTACCATAACTGTAGTACATTCCTATCAAAATCTGTTGATTTTCTGTCAATTTATTCAGTCCACTGATCAGCACAGAAGTTGAAACTATCGTCAGTAATCGAATTTGATTATTCGAGTAGTAAGGATTCAAAGTATATATGTACCAAAATGCTTTGAAATATGCGACGGCCAAGAATAACTTATCGCAAATATGTGGGACGAGTTTGCTCTAGACTCCGGTTGTTCTCTGCGATGCTGCGACTCTGGCACTGGATCGGGAATGTTGGAAGCACTATGTAAAGCGTCTGCCTACGCGATCCGACAGTAGAAGGTCAATGAGCATGAAGATGATTCAAGTATATACTGTTTAATTTGATTTTCAAGCTAGGTTGCAGACTATCGTATGTGGCATCCCTTCAAATTACCGTATTCTCTTCAGTTCGAAGAGTATTTGAATTTTTCAGTTAATGGTCGAAGCATGGTGTAGGCTTTCGTTTATGCCACAGTAATTAATAAAGTTTTATTGTCACCGTTGCGTTCAATTATGGTATTTTGTGGAAAAGTTTCAAATAGCTGACCGCGGCGAAAAAAGTTTGTATTTTATTTGCAAATTTTTATGCATTTGCCGACATGGTACTATAAAGCCTTTTGGTGCCTTCGGTGGGTTAACGTTTTATTTTGAAATGGTTCTTTTGCCTTATAGTAATAGGGTTTTAGTGAGAAAATATTTTCTCAATAAGTTTTAAATTTATATATGTGTTTTATGGGTTTAGTTACCGACTTCATTACAGAAGTAATATGGAAATGTGACGTTGAAGGGTTTCTTAAACAACGCTGGTTATAATAGATTAATTAATTGTAGCTTACGAGGAAAAATTCCGAGATCTTTCTCAGGGAGTGAGTTTTTGCTGTTCTTGGGCAAGATTCCGTGTTTCAAAGAGTAGAAAAGATCCTGTTTCAGCTGCCCGAGAAATACGCCCAATGTTTATAAGTTTTGTGCAGAAACAGCTGAATTATACAAAGTGTATTGTAAGGATATACGGAATGATAGGCTGATGTCAAAGAGCATGTGATATCTGCCTCATGATATTATTTTGCGTTGTGTGTAATTAAACCGTTTCATTGTTTCTTCAGAAATACTATCAAATGGATAAAGTGCACAATTCTTTGTATGTTATGGATAAATCCTGTATGATTTCAAATGCCGAGCAACTTGATAAGCTGTCAAAGATTCCGTTGAAGTTGAAGTTCTGTGCACTGTACATCAAAATTAGTAATATTTGCGAATCCGAAAAAAAAACGATTATGTTTGATTGAAATTCATAAATACCTGCCTTTCTGTAGTTGCACTATGACGTTATACACCTAATATGTTGTCTACATGATATCATTCACCGTTCGCAATTATGACGGCACGATTCTGCATAAGCAGCAGATCTCGTATTAAAATTTGGAATGAGAAGGATTGACTTACAAGTGAGGGCTTGGCTTTACATTGCTTGTCGATGCAATGTTTGTTTTAATTTATTATTTGTTATATGAAGTGTCATTTATGAAAATATTTTGGCTAAAGTAATTGCTGACAGGTCTTTCGAAACTAATGCTAAGGAGTGATATCAAAACAAGCTTTGCTTTGCAACATGTACGCCTCGATGTTTTCTAAGAGACATTTTGGAAAAAGTTGAGTAAATACTAATTTTTTACTTGTGATATCATGTTGTTTTTCTTTAGTTATTGATTTTGTCCTATAATTTAACATAAAAATTTTACTTCATGATTGATCGTCATCGAGTGATAAAATCA